GTGTTGTTTAATGCAGCTTACCTAAAGACAAAAATAAACCAAAAAAACAGACTTGATCCTTTTGCTTATTATCCTTAAGTGGAGATATGCTTTCAAGACAGTTCTGGACCCCAGCCAGCCTACTGAACATCTGGGGGTTGTTCTCAAGTAGTCCTTTGGGGAGGATGGAGTGAAGTTGGACATATTTAGATGTCATTCTTTTTATTTGTTGGCAGATTTTGTCTGGCTGGGTTTTTCTCAAGAAAGTTGCAACCAACAACCTACGCAAATCGCATTGCCACATTACAAGCAGGCTCACATATAGAAGCTCTATTGGGTGTATCCTCATACTCTAGCTGTGTTCTTTTCAAAACAGTAACTTTATCAATGGCTTCATCTGATGCGAGCATGAGTACTGATACTGACATTGGATCCCAAATTGTAGGATCCCGAAATTGATGGGACACAGTAAAAATCAGCCGCTGCCATCAGTCGTTGTCATCTCGTTTGCTTTTAGTCGATGAGAACAGAATGAGATGCGCCTAAAACATCAGAAGTCTGCTCACACATCAACACTAATGTAGGAAATTGATGAATATAGTTTGCACTAATATTTTGTGCATCTATTCTTGTGTGTGTGTGTGATTCAGAACCAGCTGCTGGACAGCGACGGTCACAACGCACTGATGAAGAAGGTGTTTGACGTCTACCTGACTTTCCTCAAAGTCGGCCAGTCAGAAGCTGCCCTCAGACATGTGTTCGCCGCTCTGCGTGCTTTCATTAACAAGGTACGTGTTCACATTCGTACGAAGTGTTGCTGCAGTAGTAAAATCAGTATGACTCAGATGATGCCTGGAGCAGGTAAACATGCTGTGTTTTTGATGACCGGAGCTGATATACATTTTTGTTTTTGTTTTTGCCACTGCCTAAAAAAAACCTTTCCACTGTGAACAATGAGATGAGTGAGATGTCTGTTTCCAGCCTTCACACGGACGTTCTCTCTCATTCCATCTAATAGATAAAAAAAGGTCACACTGCTCCAATAAAGTAACCTGGCTTTTCTGTGTTTCTTGTGTTTTCTGCCTCGTTCCCAGCCACCGGCTAGAAAAATGCTATGAAATGTATCTAATAGGGCTGCCACAAACGATTATTTTGATAGTCGACTAGTCACCGATTATTTTTGCGATTAGTCGACTAATCAGATCATGCATCTATTGGACGTAAAACGTACAGCTTATTGCACCAGCAGCATCTGCTCTTATATAACTATCATTAGCTTACAGCTTTCAGTGTTTAAGGTATGTGCTAACTAAAAATAAAGACAAGATGATAGTTTATTA